CCCCCCCACCCCCATCTTTCCCTTTCAAGACATTGACCCAAGCACTGGACCGGGGCTGGCGATTGCCACTCTCTATTAATAGCTTTTGGCATCGTTTTTGACCCCAGAAAACCTGTCTGTGATTCTCTGAAAAATGAGAGGGGAGCTAGAGGGGGAGATTCGAGAGCGAGAGAGAGCGAGAGAGAGCGAGAGAGAGAGAGAGAGAGAGAGAGAGAGAGAGAGAGAGAGAGAGAGAGAGAGAGAGAGAGAGAGAGAGAGAGAGAGGGGGGGGGGAGAGCGAGAGAAGAACATAGGAAAGTGCAGTGCAAGTACGTTTGTACTTGAATCACAATATTTTTATATCTGCTTAGGGGGGTGAATATTGACAACGGCTGATAATACGTGAAAATGAAGCTTATCGCTTATTTTTTATTTTTCTTTGGGCGTTAAAGTTATATTTATTCATTTATTTGTTTTGTTTGTTTGATCGTCCCATGCCCCTTTCCAGGTGCCATGGTAATGATTTTTCTCGTATCAGACAATCATTAACAATGAGAATGTGAGCGAGTAAGTACACTGTACACATACAATGCTATTTCAACAGTCTGATGGAATAAGTAATTGATGTATTTCTTTCCGTTTTTTGTTGTCTATTCCACACACACACACACACACACACACACACACACACACACACACACACACACACACACACACACACACACACATACTTGCGTACATACACACACATACACACGTACACACACTGGCACGCACGCACACACTCAAAAACACACACATATATACACAAACTCTCACGCACACACATACCCACATACACACACACATAAACACACACTCACACACACACCCACACACACACTCACACACACACACACACACACACACACTTTTAAGTCCTTTTTATACCGCCGTGCTTCCCTCTGAAGGCTTCACAGTAACTCCCGTCTCTGACCTGTTTACTTGTCTTATACCAGAGTGTGTTGTGTAATGGTTGGACCCAATTGTCCTAACAGTCAGGGTCAGAGCAGCCTGCCTCCGAGTAAATTTGTGTTAAAATGGCCGTAAAACGTCTTACCTCCACCTAAAGTTTTATGTCTTTTTGCGTAAAACATTTACTAACAGTAACTTCGTTCGAACTGATATTTTCAGTTCGTACGCTCATTATTTTTGTATTCCCAGTTGCTTTTATTTTCACCACAGTTGAATGGTGTGTTGTGTGTGATTTTTGACTCCCGAAGTTGAACCTTTTCCGTGTGTCTTCGGTGGGATTTATTGCCGCCACAATTGTATTTGTCTATTGAGTTGTATGGCGGCTTCTGATTTCTTTTATAACGCGTGCACCCGAAGGATTATTTTGGTAATATGTGTTTTTGAAGAAGTTGTACTTATTCAAAGCGTTTTTTATTTTAATTGGTTGCTCCAGGTAGGTGAAAGGTTGCAAACGACTAAAAGTACTGTGTTGACTCGTTCCGTGAAGCGTACTATGAGGTTTGATTTCGTCAGGAATGGATAATGTTTATAGTTAACTGTTTTAGAGCACTTGACGGAATATACAAATACAACCTTTACTTTGGTATCTACTGAAACGAAAAACGAAACCCAGATTTTGTGATTTTCTGGGAAGAAATTGGAGCCAGGGACAAGGATATAGAGAGGAGAACAGAAGAGAATCGTTTTCTCAAGAGGTGATTGTGTGTCACAACCTCTCACCATGAACGGAACCCACGGGCTCCCAAACGGCTCAGGGTCCTCCCTGCCCAACGGGCGCCCACCTGTTGTGCCCACCGTCCAGCTACCCGCCCACCAGCACACCCACCACACGCCCGCGTCCCGGGAGTCGTCTGTGGGCCCCGCCGGAAGTGACACGTCCGAATCTTCTGTGGACTCGTCTGGCAACGCGCAGCTCAAGCCGCGCAAGCTCTTCCGGATCCGGTCCCGGGCAGGGGAGATGACTTTTGGCAAACTGCTCATGAGCCCAATCGTAAGTCGTCCGTGTCTGTTGTTGGTGGTGCCTCTGCTGCATTGTTGTAGTTTTGTTAGTATATCAGTATTCCAATGGTTGCTTGGGAAGCTTTGGTATTATTCTTAACACCCCTCTCCCCCCAGTTTTTCATTTTTTTTCACTGCCTTACGAAACTTCTGTTGCACTTTGAATGTCTCAATAGCTACAATAATATCAGTCTGTCTGTCTGTCTGTCAGTGTGGTTTGCTCCTATCAAACATCTATCATCTTTATTTCCCCTCCTTTTTTGTTTTTGTTACTGTTAACTCCCTAGTAACATCTCTAATCTTCGGCACTTATATGAGCTTATTGTGTTGCAAGTGCCGTAAAACTCTTTAAGAAAAAGTCTGTGTGTCTGTCTGCCTGTCCGTCTGTCTGCCTGTCTATTACTATCTATCTATCTATCTCTGTCAGTCTGTCAGTCAGTCTGTCAGTCAGTTAGTCTGTCTGTCTGTCTGTCTGTCTGTCTGTCTGTCTGTCTGTCTGTCTGTCTGTC